AAAAAAAAAAAAAAAAAAAGAAAGAAAGAAAGAGAGAAAAAGAAAGAAAGATTGATTTTTAAATGTCTAACACTAGAACTGATTAAGCAAATTTTAATTCATTCATATTACTGAATAGAAATTATCAAAATTATATTTACAAAGGCTTTTAAAAGACATGGAAACATGTCTATACACATACACACACACACACACACACACGCACTTACATATATATATATATACTTATTTCTCGACAGGTCCCGGAGGGAGGCCCACTTACTGTTGTTTCCGTGGAGCTGGTGGGCATCTTGGGCACCAGGCAGTGAGTGAATTCGATTCTTGGGTCTTTGGTGGTGATGGACAGGCCTTTCTGCAGAATTTTCACCAAGCGGATCCAGAATTGAAACACAGTCTCTGGGTGTTTTTCGTGGAGCCTCAGGTAGTAGATCTTCTCGGTCACTGTCCTAACCCTCAGGATGCGTCGGAGCCGGTCATAGATTCGTAGCTCCACATACTTCAGGGGGAGAAGCCTGGGCATAATCAGGACATTTCCATGGGGAAGGCTGTGGTTTCAATTGACCACATGGGTGCCCACCTAGAGGTGGCTCAGCATCACTGGCCTCCTACCTTTCTGCCTGGGGAATGCTGAAGGGAGAAAGCTCGTGTAATGGAAGTGCGGGTGATCACTAAGACTGACTCCTCTCCAACTGCCAGGACTTTAGCAGGAATACAGGTGTGTGCCAGTATGCCCAGCTAATTTTTTTTGGAAGTTTTTGGTAGAAACAGGATCTCCCTATGTTGCCCAGGTTGGTTTTGAACTCCTGACTTCAAGTGATCCTCCCACCTTGGCCTCCCAAAGAGCTAGAATTACAGATGTGAGCCACTGTGTCTTGCCAAGATAAGTATAATTAATTCCACTTTACAGATTTCAAGGCTGAGGCTTAGAGAGGCTAAGTGATTTGCCCAAGTTTAGATCTTATTAAGTATGACCTGAAACTAAGATTTCCTGACTCAATTTCTAGGACTCTTTCTCCCTATATCCTGATTTACTGTGTTGAAAGGGCAAGGAAAAGGCTGGATGTCTCCTGTATATCTAGTATTTTTTTTTCAATCTCAGCACTTCATAGTTTTGCTTGACTTTCATATCCCCACCTTTTCCTTGGAAACCCCCTCTATATTGACAAAAAGAACATTTTTAAATGTCTAATAATAGGGAACTGGTCAAGTAAATTTTAATTCACTCATATTACTGAATAGAAATTATCAAAATGATATTTAAAAAGAGATTTTAAAAGACATGGAAATGTGTCTACACACACACACACAGACACACTCTCTCTCTCTCTCTCTCTCTCTCTCTGTCTCTCTCTCTCTCTTACAAAAAAAGGAAGCCAGGATTCTCAAAAACTAGGCTCTCGACAAAGACTGCATACTGCCCTATCCCTGCACAAAGCACAGTGGCTTGGTATATACAGACACTAAATAAATACTTGCTAGGCCGGGCGTGGTGGCACACACCTGTAATCCCAGCAGTTTGGGAAGCTGAGAGGTGGATGGATCACCTGAGGTCAGGAGTTCAAGACCAGCCTGACTAATGCGGAGAAACCCTGTTTCTACTAAAAATACAAAATTAGCTGGTTGTGGTGGCACATATCTATAATCCCAGCTACTCAGGAGGCTGAGGCAGGAGAATCACTTGAACCTGGGTGGCGGAGGTTGCAGTGAGCCAAAATTGCACCACTGCACTCCAGCCTGGGCAACAAGAGTGAAACTCTGTCTCTAAATACATACATATGTACATACATACATACTTGCTAAACAAATAAATGAATGAGTTCTAAAGAGTTTATGCACTAAAGAACATTGTCCTTTCTTTTGATCTAAAATCCAGCTACAAAGCAATGCATATCCCAGTCAATCATTCCATCCCTTCCAGCCCCTCCCTCAAGCCTTTACCTGCTGAGGGTGATGACTGGGGCATCACCAGGTGTGTTCCAGGTGGAAAACGGACCCCGGGGCCAGGTAACATTGGCCATCAGGAGGACATTGGGGAGTGGCAGGGAAGGCACTGAGGAGGTCACCCCAAGGATCACGGTGGTAGACCTTTCACAGACATCTTTCCAGTTCCCGGGCTTAATGACCTAGAAATCAGCCAGAGGTACGTGGGTCAGAAAGAAGCAGAAAACAAGATGCTGGAAAGGGGCGCTTCATCTGGGGGCAGGTGTACGGCACACAGGGCTGGGCCCTGACCTGCTGTTGATCCTTTTCGTTGGCTTCCCCAAATAGACTTCAAGGTCCTTGGCCTCAGGAGCCCTGTGTTGTCCTTCTCTGTGTCCTCTGTTTTATCTAACTGTAAAAAGATGCACTAGCAAGAAAAAGCTGAGTGGCACTGAAGTTTTCATTCCCCCACCCTTGGGTAGGAGAAGCTGGCCCTGGTTTCCAGTGGCCTAGAAGGGAGATTGTGTGAACAAAGTCCAGAAGGGGAGGAAAGTGAGGAAAGAGATGTTGAATGGGGAAGACCCAGTGAGCTTGAGTTGAGGGAGGTTTGGAGCACTAATCCCAGGATGAGGAAGGGGCCATCTTGTTGCTGGGTCTTGAGTGGAATGAGGACCTATTCTCTGGAAGCACCAGGAGGCTGTCGCAGGACAGAAAGACTGGATGCGTGGCCTGGCACTGGGCACAATGTCTCAGCTAAGACACCCCTCACTTCACTGTGCATGGCTGGCAGAAAAGCACCAGAAGTATGGCCACTAAGGAGCCACAGGGACCCAGGTAAGGAATGTATGAGGAGGGACCCCTGTGTTCCCAAGGCCAGAGGACCTTCTCCCAATGCTCTACATCTTTTTTAGAAAATAGAGAATGGGGCCAGGTGCTGTGGCTAACGCCTGTAATCCCAGCACTTTGGGAGGCTGAGGCAGGCAGATCACCTGAGGTCAGGAGTTCGAGACCAGCCTGACCAACATGGAGAAATCCTGTCTCTACTAAAAATACAAAGTTAGCCAGGCATGGAGGTGCATGCCTATAATACAAGCTACTGGGGAGGCTGAGGCAGGAGAATTGCTTGAACTCGGGAGGCAAGGTTGCAGTGAGCTGAGATCATGTCACTGTACTCCAGCCTGGGCGACAAGAGTAAAACTCTGTCTCAAAAGAAATATATATAAGAAAATACAGAATGGGGTCTCACTATGTTGCCCAGACTGGTGTCAAATTCCTGTTTGATCCTCTCCTCTCAGCCTCCCAAAGTGCTGGAATTATAGACACAAGCCACTATCCCAGCCAATGTTCTAGACTTTGTAAAACCACCGACACCACTGCACAGTCCTTGGTGGAAGTGGGGACAAGGGAAAGCCCAGGGGATGACTGAAATGTAATTTCCCACCAGCCTGACCAGATGGTGTTCCAAGAAAAGTGATTTTTGATTTTGGAAAAAAAAAAAGTGACACTTCTTGGAGCCCATGTTGAGGAATGAAATTCATGTCCTCTGCAAAACACAGAGGATTGTACACATTAAGTGTCCAATAAATGTTTGTGGGTGATGCTGCTTTGGGATGATGATAGTGATGGTGATGTGGAGGAGACGGAGAGAGGAAGCAGTGTAACTGCACTGTAACAATGATAACTATAACTAATATGTGGATTGCATCATTTCAAGTAAACTTTGAGCTGTGTGGTTGTTTATGCCTATAATCCCAGCACTTTGGGAGTCCAAAGCAGGAGGATCACTTGAAGCCAGGAGTTCAAGACCAGCCTGGGCAACATAGTGAGGCTTTGTCTCTATCAAAACATTTCTTTAAAAAATCAAACTTTGAACTTTACTGTGGGAGTCAGCCTCTCCCTAGCAGGTTCTGAGTTTGCTGCTGCCTTGGTAACTTAGTGTCCATTCAGATAATCTAAACAGTTTTAATATCAGGCCAAGGAAAACACATTAAGAGGCCAGGTGCTGTAGCTCATGCCTATAATCCCAGCATTTTGGGAGGCTGAGGAGGGCAGATCTCCTGAGGTCAGGAGTTCAAGGCCAGATTGACTAACAAGGTGAAACCCCATCTCTACTAAAAATACAAGAATTAGCCAGGTGTGGTGGCAGGCATCTACAGACCAGCTACTCAGGAGGCTGAGGCAGGAAAATCGCTTGAACCTGGGAGGCGGAGGTTGCAGTGAGCTGAGATCGCGTCACTGCACTCCAGCCTGGGTGATGGAGCAAGACTCTATCTCAAAAAAAAGAAAAAAGAAAAAAAAAAAGAATAGAAAACACATTAAGAGAACATATTTGCAGCCAAATCATTACACCCAAATAGAAATAACTAGAAATTAGATCCTGAGACTGGATTTCCAATGTTACTGCTCTGTCTCCACCAAGGGTATGTTAGGAATGAGCTCACCCCAGATTTGCCAGCTGATCACCCAACTACACATCTGCCAGGGGCAGCACAGGAGCAGCAGGAGCCATAAACACAGCTCTCCAAAATCTTGAGACTCCATCAGGGAGTAGCTCATTGCTCTGTAAAGAGTCTCTAAATGAAGCCCAATACTCACCTCCAACTGTTCCCACCTTCTCTCCTATAACCCCTGGCTGCTTTCCCCCTCCATTTGAATGGGTCTGTCTTGCAGACCTCCCTGCATTCCAGTCTCCCTGCCTTTCCTCAGGTACTCTGAAGCCCCTCTGTCTGGGATATACTCCCCCCTGCTCTTCCACTTACCAAAATCTCAGCAGTCTCTTAAAGAATGGCTTAAGACCCTTCTGTAAAGTCTTCAGACAAAGTCCAGAAAGAATGCCTTTAACACTCTCTGCAGCCACGCCTGGGGCATCAGCTGGTCCAAACTCTCTGACATACAACTTGCTTAGACAGTTACCAAATAACAGGTAAACCAAACTCATAGGCTTCCTGGCCAAGGACACTCTCTGATCTTTCTCTGTACCGCCTGCTCTGCATGCAGTAGATGTTTAGTGTGTGCTTAATGGCTGATTAACTGGTTATGCTCTCCTGCACAGGAGCGCGGGTTCAGGCTAGACCGCTAGAGGGAGGCAGGCAGCACCTGCGTAAGACTTGATACTTACGAAAACAATCACCCTCCACTCCCAGTAGCTCCATCCCAGGCTCACTTCCATTGGTCATGTCAACACCACCCTTTTAGGGAATGGTAGGATCTGGGCAAGGCCTATTTACCCAGTGTCTTTGCTTTCAAATAAGGCTGTTTCTAAACCACCCAGAGTGAGGAGGTTGGATTTCAGAGCAGAGTTTCTAACAGCAACCTTCATTCCCTGTAACCATCCAGTTTGAACAAGTGGCCCAGAAAGGGCCTGTGAATCCTGCCTGGAGACTGAGCTCTGATCTCTCCTTTTGTAAGGTATAAATTGATTTCCTTAAAGCAGATGACCTGCTGGGATCCTCAATATAATACAGGCATAAATGGAGGTGAACATGGGACCCAGACCTTCTGGTTTTCTCTAGCTTTGGTGGCTTCTTTGTCCTCCCCAGGGCTTTCAAAGGCCACAGCATTTCCTAACCATCCCCTAGGAACAAGTTTTGGAAAGAGAAAGACAGCTGGCCCTGAGCGCCACAAGGGTACCTGGATAAAGTTGCTTTCAAACACCACCGAGTCGGAGAACAAGTTGAATTCTGGAGAATGAATTAGTTGACAAAGAAGGCCATTTTCCACCCCAAGTTCCACTCCAGGGCCTGGTTCCCTGACCTCAGGTGGGAAGCCCCTGATTTTACTCATTGATTCTTGGGAAGAATGGGCTGGGGAACATTTCTGGGGCTCCACGTAGACCCAGCCCAATGGCAAGATGTTGATGTGATCTGCCCCCACCTCCCCAGCTCTTTCTCCTCTCCTTACTTACGGGCTGTCCACCAGGGCCGGGAGGGCCTGTCAGCTCACAATGGCAGGAATGACATCAAGGAATGTAATGGTGACAACAGAAAAGGAAAAAAAAAAGAAGAGGAGAGGAAGGACAGAGGATGTGCCAGGCTCTTTTCTCCCTCTTTCCACCAACTACAAACCAGCAGTAATGCAGCCTATTCCACTTTTTAAACATTCAGTCATACTCCAAATGGGGAATATGACCCTCCCAAAGTTATGCCAAGACAGCAGTGAGCTGGCCAGATGCAAGGAAGTCTCTGGGGAACAGGCTTTCATTCTCTTGCCTCCCAGTGAAGCCTGTTACAAAACTTCTGTGTGACTTGTTCACCTGCTCAGAGAAGTCTAAGGGTAGGAGAAAGGGAGTTCCTCTTCCCTACCCCCTCTCATGGGAGAAAAGGAGATTTTTTTTTTTTTAAAAAAAGAAATAAACACCTATTAACCAAACAAACAGGCTTATTCATTTGGAAACAGTGGGCAAAGGAGAAGGCAGTGGCACAGTTGTGTCCTGGAGCCAGACCAAAAGAGGTCATGAGAGCTGGTTGTTGCATTTTCCGGAATGTTACAAGCCAGTTGTTAAACACAGCAATTATCAAAACTTTTTTTTTTTTTTTTTTTTGAGACAGAGTTTTGCTCCTGTTGCCCAGGCTGGAGTGCATTGGTGTGATCTTGGCTCACCGCAACCTCCACCTCCCAGGTTCAAGCAATTCTCCTGCCTCAGCCTTCTGAGTAGCTGGGATTACAGGCATGAACCACCATGCCCAGCTAATTTTTTTTTTTTAAATATTTTAAGTAGAGACAGAGTTTTTCCATGTTGGTCAGGCTGGCCTTGAACTCCTGACCTCAGGTGATCCACCAGCCTCGGCCTCCCAAAGTGCTGATATTACAGGCATGAGCAACTTGGCAAGGCCATTTTAGATATGTTTTAAAGGATAGTGTTTCCATGGCCCTAGTGAGACATTTTTAAAAGCCCTTTGTAATTTTAAGCCATTCATGTTTTGAGATTGTTTATTACCTCAACGTAACCTAGCTAATCCTGATTGGTAACAAGAATAAATTCTTAGAAGTAGAATTTGTTGGGAAACTGAGGCAGGTGGATCATGAGGTCAGGAGATTGAGACCATCGTGGCCAACATGGTGAAATCCCATCTCTACTAAAAATACAAAAAGTAGCTGGGCATGGTGGTACATGCCTGTAATCCCAGCTACTTGGGAGGCTGAGGCAGGAGAATTGCTTGAACCAGGGATTGGGAGGTTGCAGTGAGCCAAAGATCACACCACTGCACTCCAGGCTGGTGACAGAACAAGACTCTGTCTCAAAAAAAAAAAAAAAAAGAAGTAGAATTGGTGTGAAAGGATGCATATGAGCCAGGTGTGATGGCTCATGCCTGTAATCCCAGCACTTTGGGAGACTGAGGTGAGATCGCTCGAGTCCAGGAGTTTGAGACTGGCCTGGGCAATGTGGTGAAACTCCATCCCTACAAACAATAGAAAAAATCAGCCAGGCATGGTGGTGCATGCCTGTGGTCCCAGATTCTCAGGAGGCAGAGGTGGGAGGATCACTTGATCTTAGGAGGCAGAGGTTGCAGTGAGCCGAGATCATGCCACTGCACTCCAGCCTGGGTAACAGAGTGAGACCCTGTCTCAAAACAGTATAAATAATTTGAAAAAAAAAATAGTGTATATGCTGGTGGATACCACTGTAATGGGCTTCATAACAAGTATACCAATTTATATTTCTACCAATAATGTTTGAGAGCTTGTGCTTCATATAGATCTACCATCCCAGTATGTCATCAAGCTTTTGAACTTACCAGGCTGAAAGTTTTTAAAACAGTATCTCAATGTAATTTTAATTGGGTATCTTTTCATTTCCTTCATTGGTTTTTATTCTATGAATTTTTAATTTACAACATTTGCCAATTTTTCTATTAGGCTACTGGTCTTTTTCTTATCTATTTTATAGGCAATCTTTTCATATTGGAAAGATTGAGTTGTGATTTTTTTCCTAATTTTATTT